CTGATGTAACTAAAATGTGTGGGATTTTTTTATTCTCAAACCAGTACTTTAAACACCTAAGGGAAAAGACTTAATTAGTTACTGATGTAACTAAAATGTGTGGGTATTTTTATTCTCAAACCAGTACTTTAAACACCTAAAGGAAAAGACTAAAAGAAATGAGGTAAGTCAACAAGAGGAAAAGACAAAACATAATTTAGTAAATATAACAAAACTTACATGAAAGTTAGAATTGTGTTATTTAGACAAGATAGAGATGTTGAATAAAGTCACATGCCGCCAGTTTGCCTTGTGGGGGACAGGTTGAGAATTGTGTAGTCTAATCAATCAGCTAAATCCTGGGGATGTGCTGACCTCACAAACAACAACAAAAAAGAAACCCTGAATTCCAAAGGCAGCTTGACACCCAAGTCAGTCAGGTCTTGAGGGTTAATGCTAGTCGACTGTTTTGCCAGCAAAAAGATGTCCATGTCACAGCAGATCCTCTGCATCCTTATAATCTTAAGAACTTTTAAGCCTAACATTTCAAGGACCGGGTTTTAAATTTAAGTTCGTTTTGAATTCCCTGAACCACTGTTACATGTCTGAGACACTTTAAGGCTACAACTACAAATTATTTTAGGCACGATTTCTTAAAAATTAGTCTCTGCCAATTATATTCTTTCACCTTTATGAAAGAAACCATTTGGGAGATGACTACCTTAGGAATGAATAAAAGAAGTCTTTGTGAACTGTCAGTTTTAACTTTAAAAGAAGTTAGAGGAAATTCCTAATAGAAGTGTCCAGTGCCTGCATCACCCAAGAGTTTAAATCATTCAGGACCCCAAGACCTTTGTACTGTGTGCTTTATGACTCCTCTGGTTTCCTTTCCTTGTGTCCCCCTTTGCAGCGCCTTTGGACGGGAGATGCTGAAGCGGAACATTGGTGTAGTTGTGGTGGGATTTCCTGCTACCCCAATCATTGAGTCCAGAGCCAGGTTTTGCCTGTCGGCAGCTCATACCAAAGAAATTCTTGATACTGTGAGTAGATACTTTCACCTTGATATAAATATACCTTATACTAAGAATGCCTATATAGCAGATGGAATTAATCATCTATTGACCCTGATGTTCTTTGAGCACCTAAGATATTTACCAGTAAAATAGAGGAAGGAGTATGCAACGCTGCTTAAAACATTTCTATTTACAAACAACTGCAGACCAGACCCTGTGTGATCAAAAAATCCCCTGGGGGATTTTCCAGCTTCATCTCGCCCCACTCTCTCTTTATGGCTTCTGCAACTATATGATTCTTTTTCTACTCTAGCTGTTTTTCTCGTCTAAGCTTTCTTGTATGTTGTTTTGTCTGTAGAATTTTCTCTCTTGAGCCTTCTCTTTCTTTTGTGTGGCTGACTCCTACTCATTCTTCACATCTCCATTTAAAGGAAACTTGCTCAAGGGTATTCCCAAACTCTCCTGCTTAAGGTTCCCTTGGAATCTTAAGGTGTCCCCTTAGTAAATTAGTCACAGCTGTTATTTAATGACAATCTTCTACATTAGATAAATCTTGAGGATAGGAGCTAAGCCTGTTTTGCTCACTCCATGTCCCCAGAGACATCTGCATTGATTTTTTTTTTTTAACCCAGAGATCAGCTTTTTTTTTTTCATTCTACTGTCCTTAACTGTTTAGGAGTTTTGACATGCCTCTTAAACAATATGTATCATTATAAACAATGGCTATAGTAATAAATTATGTCTTCTAACAACAACTTTGCTGAGAACTGTACATATTCATGAAAGAATTTAGATGTAAACATGTATCTAAGCAGATTTCTGTTGCCAACAATTATGGTTGCCAATCGAGAATTCTTTCATAAGATCCACTTGAGAGATTGTTTAACTGCCTTCCATTTAGTTTTTCTAAAGCATAAAGTGCATTTTTTGAAACCATAAGTTTGTTGAAGTCATTTTGTCTTATGCTGTTTCGGTGAAGTAAACATGAATTTTATGAGATACAAACGAGTTTTCATTTAGTAATGGGCCTTCTGAGATTATTCTAAATATAGAAAATGCCATAAAATCCACCAACAAAACCCGACCCGCTAGAGCTAGTAAATGTTGTCAGCAAACTCAAAGAGTGAAAGATCAACACACAAAAACTAGCGTATTTCTGTACAGCAGCATTGACCAAATGAAATTAAGAAAATCTTGTTTATGATAGCATCCAAACAGTGCTAAAAGAAAAGAAGTAAGACTTAAATAAATGGAAAGATATCCCATATTCATGGATTGGAAGATTTAATATTGTTAAGATGGTGGTATAGCAAGTTCTATAGATCCAGTTCAATCCCTGTCAAAATCCTAATGGCATGTTTTTGCAGACCTGGAAAAGGTGATCTTCAAATTCATATGAAAATGTAAAGGGGCCCCAGATAGCCAAAAGAGTATTGAAAAAAAAAATTGAAGTTAGAGGACTCAAACTTCCTAATTTCAAAACTTACTACAGAGCTACAGTAATTAAAACAGTGAAATTCTAGCAAAAGGATAGACATGTAGACCAATGGAATAGAATGAAGAGTCCAGAAATAAACCCAAGCATCTGGCCAGTTGATTTTTAACAAGGGAGCCAAGGCTAATCAATGGGGAAAGAATAGTGTCTTCAACAGATGGTGCTGGGCAACTGGAACTACATACAAAAGTGATGAAGTTGGACCCTTACAACATGGATTGACTTTGAAAACATTATGCTGAGTGAAAGAAGCCAAACAAAAGCCAGACACAAAAGACCGCATTTACACAAAATGTCTAGAAAAGGCAAACTTGAGAGCGTCAGAAAATAAGATTGGTGGTTGTCAGGACTCGGGGTAGGGAGGAATGAGGAATGGTTGATGTGAGTATGGGGTTTCTTTTTTGAGGTAATAATGCTTTAAAATTAGATAGCAATGAAAGTTATACAACTCTGTGACTATACTAAGAAGCGATGAATTTTACATCTTAAAAAGGTGAATTTTGATCACGGTCCCCACGTCAAACTTGTTATTTATCCTCTCATCATTGCTACTCTTAATATATTTTTAATAGGGAAAAACAATCCAAATTTTATTTTCTTCTATCATAGAAAAAAGAAATAAACTTTCTTTTTAAAACAAAAAATTAAAGGGCTAAATTTTAAATATTTTTATGTGGGTTAAAAATATTTGAATAGTACCATTTTATTTGCAATATATAAACTAATATGTAAATTATTTCCATGTGGAGCTTTCAGTTAAACCTCTTCTCAGAGGTACCACTGTTCTGATAACATATTGAAATCTAGCTCTTACTTGCTTTTTATATTTTTCACATTTGGAGTGAAGAATATTTTATCTTATGCTAGAATAAATAAGGAATACTATTTATTAGTGGTTTTTTTTTTTTCTTCCTACAAACACTGATTTATAAAAGTTAATTTAAGAACAGGTAAATGTATCTTTACCAATAATGAACCGATTCTTTTTTTTTTTTAAAGAGAAAGTATACATTTTCATATGGAGCAATAGCCATATGAGTGGACAGAAAATTTATATGCTCTGATGGAAATTTGGAGAGTCGTGCTCAGTTACAAAGCTTCTACTGCCCCCTTACTGTTTCTTAGTCTAAGAAGATGGTATTATAGATAAAGCCATTGTCTCTGAAGCCCGGGTCCACTCACCCCAGATTTGTTATTAGATGCACTAAATAATATCCTCAGGTTCTTGGGGAATGAGTGACAGGGCTGGAGCGCTGCCATGAATTGAAAACTGCATCCTGTGACCTGTGCCAGGTACTTTTATTAGCCTTAGAATCTGGGATTTAAAAATTTTTGCTATCTTCCTTGGATTTCTCTGAGAGGTTATCTGGGGCATAGAGTTTCACTATCCTTTCATTAAATTGTTTTCTGAGAAATTATGAATTTCTTATATTGGGATCATCTATTTCGACTCGCTTTGTGCTGCTGCTTTTTGGAAAGGTTAACTCTGAACTGACAATGATTCATACTTTGCTGTATGTATGTTATACTTCAAGAAATTATTTTTTAAAAATACATGTAAGAAACCATACACAGATTGCCTCTACCAGGTAGGACTAGTGTAGCAATCAGGAAGAGACTTTTTATTTCATAACTTGCCTTAATGTTTGAGTTTTTTATAAGAAATATATTTTCTTTGAAAAATAGTTTTACAGAAAAGAAAGTTATACTGAGACAACTAGAGTTTTGATGGGAAGATGGGATGTTCTCTCAAGGTTAGGATTTTGAAGTTCAAATCCTGGCTCTGTCTTTTCTTTGCTCCCTTACCTGCAGCCTGTCCATTAGCCACACAGAGTCTCCTCCTCATGGCTTTCATTTTTTCTTACTGAGTCTGCATAGCAGTCCACTTTGGGGACTATCTGTTTTGCCTCTAGGAAGCATCTCAGTACAGACTTCTCAGCAGTTTTCTGGTAATGTGATCATGGAAAGAACAAGTACTGAACTATAAAAGGAGAGATGACAAATTGTGGCCAGCCTGACAAGTCCAGGGTGCATATTCCTTTTCCTACCAAGCATGACAAACTTTGATGAATTATACCCTTATTCCTGTATACCTGCTATTCACAACGCATTATTCATGGTCAGCCTAACCTCCTTGCTCAAAAAGCAGCTCTTTTGTACTGTAGTCTGATCAGAGTAAATGTACTAGACACAGACGGTCCCACCAGAGGATAACTTGGCCACAATTGTTTTTAGGAAAGTAAAGCACCAGGCATGCCTGCATCCTGCTGGCTCTGACTCAGCTCTGCTTTGTCTTTTATACTTTAGGCTTTAAAGGAGATAGACGAAGTTGGGGACCTATTACAACTGAAGTATTCCCGTCATCGGTTGGTACCTCTATTGGACAGGCCCTTCGATGAGACTACATATGAAGAAACAGAAGACTGAGCCTTTTTGGTGCTCCCTTAGAGGAACTCTTCCTCACCCGGGACAGTGTGTGGCCTTTCTGAGCCAGTTCCAGGAACCACACCTCTGTGGCCATCTCATACGAAAGACATTTCCTCAACTGACGGTGGCCACCTCCACTCTAAATGGCATTTTGTAAATAGTAAAAAAACTGCTTCACATCCTTCTTTTGCTACATTTCACCTTTTTTTTTTTTTTTCCAAAAAAAAGGCTCACTTTTCTTTTTTTGTCCATTAAAAAATGTTTTATTTTATAACTATTCTACTTGTGAAATCACACTGACCCTAGCCTGTGTCTGCTAACCACGCAGACCATCACCCTCTCCCAGCCACCTCGCAGACGTGGGCCCATTCAAAGTTCCTGCTAGCCCTGGCTCTACAGCCTCAAGACTCACCTGGCCCACCTCCCTAGGGAGCAAGTGCCTTCCACTTACTTCCACTCCAGATCTCAGAGGCTACCAACCTTGACATTTCTTATTTAACCAGTCAAGTAATCAACCCAAGTGTTTTCCCTTTAGTTTCTTAAGTTTAGCCGTTTAAGTAAAACAGTAAACGCTAACACTGCGGAAATTCCCCCGTGTTGTATAACTCCCTCCGGTCATGATCCTCCCAGGGCTTGGTCTTATTCCATTTTGTTCTCTCGCCATCAAATATTTCTTCTTGCTGGTCACAGTCTGAGGGTATGTCCGGTTTCTCGGTTTTTCCCAAGCTCTAACCTAATACTCCCGTCCTGTTTAGAACACTTAAATTATTTAAAGGCACCCACATCCCACCCCAGTCAGACCTCCGTGTTGAAGCTGACTGACGCCTCACTGCTCGGGGCAGAGCTGCTCGTGGGAGTAGCATGCACTCCTGCTGGGGCGAGGAGCAAGGGCAGCGCAGAAGGGCAGGACATATGTGGTTTGCTGCTAACTGCTTTCTGCTTTTCAAAATTATGACGGCCTCTGCCTGGGTCTGAGTCTAGACTAGGATTTAAGCTGGTAAAGGAAGATGTTGGTAAATCCTCTGCTCAGAAATCATTTGTCATATTCCTATTTAAGGATTAAAGTTATTAACTTACCCTTTTTAGAAGCTGACCCATTTAAGTATTACTTTTCTGAATTCTAGTTCTCTTTATTCTTAATGTCTTAAGATAGTTCTAACCTGACATCAGGAGGCTTTGCCTTCCATTACTTTTTTTTTTTTTTTAAGAAATTCTGAACACATATCTCTTTGCTAAACTGGGATCCTTTATTTTAACTCCGTTTTCATACTGGGAAAAGGGATTTCTTTCAGAGAGCTTTATACCGCTTGACCAAAGAACACATCTGAAAACGACTGTGCTAAAGTTCTTTTTTTTTCTGTTGACCAAAGCTTAAGTGAAAAGAACTTCTGGCTTTATTATACCCAAGATCCGCTTACTTTTAGTAGTCATGAGGTGTTATAGGAAACGATTGGGAATAGAATGGAAAAGAATAGTGTGAAAGTTTTGCATGTGTCTTATTTTTGAAATCACTCCTTTTGTTGGTAAGAATTCTCAGTCCAGACTCTTGGGCATCTTGTTGTCAGCTGTGGTATGTATGTGTGGGTACATGTAGTAGAGGATGTAAGCAATATTACTGTTCGTGAAGTTTTGTTTTCATGTCATGTTATCTTTGGTCACTCTCAGCATCTGAGAGTCTTAAGCCCTTGAAATAGTCCAAGATTTCATTTAAAGAACCAAATAGATATTCAGGGACTATATTTAGCATGTACAACTTGCAGTAAGAAAGAAGTTGTGGTAACCAAGTAACTAGTCCTGTAAAATAAAGTACATTGCTAACCTTTCCTGTACATCTAGTTCTTCAGCATGGAACCCCATTAGAATACCAGATAGCTTTTGCAGTGTAGTTACTCTTCAGTGGTGTAGGGTTTGCAAAGTTTACGAACTTTAAGCAATGAACTTACCCACTAGCCTTTTTATTTGGGCTTGCATGAAGTCACTGCAATATAAAATACCAGTTACTATGGGCATTTAAAATATATATTCATTATCATTTTGCTGGCACAAAGTTATTTCAGGTTAGAAGTTAAATTACAGGTTTATTTAGAAGAGACAAAACTCCTATGACCTATCCAGGACCTCTACTTGCTAGAGGACAAAACATTATACATGCTGATTGTCTCTTTTTAAAACTGTAATATAAATTTAGGGTCCAGTCATATCACAAGCATCATTATTTAACCAAGCACTTGAGGCAATACAAGTGTATATAAATAAAGCCTTTGGTAATGAGTAGAAATCTGGGACACCTAAGTATTGTTTAGTAACATGGTTTAACACAGCCTAATCCATGAATCTGATAAGATTCAAACAGGTGTCAGCTACAAAGCTGATAATCAGAGTCAATAGAGGTATGACTAATTCTTATCACTTTTTCTCATCTTTTTATTTAGCATTGCTTTTATCCATTTGAGGTTTATAAGACCTTTTTCTGCACATCACATTAGAAACCAGGAAATTTATAACTAGAGGACATCAAAATCACATACGAAGAATGGATCAAGTGGCAGTGGCAGATTGTCCTCCCACCTTTACTTTAAAAGGTCTACCCTAGAATATGGTATACATTCTAGAGCAAGTAAATATTGAAAGAAAATGTTCAGGGGCTTTGGAGCACTTTTTAACTTTTTGCTTTGCTTTGGAAAATTACTTCTCTTTAAAAAAACATTCTAGTCTCTAGATCCCCAAAGAACTGCTCGTTTGTTTGAAGAACTCAGCATCTTAGTTCTTTAGTCATGCTCTTAAACCTTCATGATAGGGTGAGGATTTCAGATGGTCGAAACACACTCCTTCCTCCTGGAATCATGTGAGGTGAACAGAAATAACCTACACAACTACTGAGGGCTGTGTGTTTGCCGAATACTCTTTCAGAGACCGAGGAATTGAATGATCTTCCAATGATTTGTCTCTACAATCTCACTCTTTGGCCTTTCTTTCTTGATTTTTAGAATTCTAATTCCAGAGAAAACTGATCTGTGGTGGTGCTGTGCTTAGAGGATCACTAGATCCGATACCCTGGCTCTTGTTCATGCAGTCTTACATTTCGGGAGGTGACAGGGAACTTCTTCCCTACTTGGGTGAGCCTATATCTAAGTTTCTTATGCCTAGTACAGTCTAGCTGAATATTGTAGTGTGTAAATACACTTCACTTCCTATTAGTGAAAACCAGGAGGAAGGATGGCTTATGTGGAGAGATTTCCTGGCTTCTCAGAGAAGGAGGAAAAAGTGATGGTATCTACCACCACTTCCCTGTTCCTCCCCCTACCCTCCCTTTCCAAACTGATGAGGATCTCTGGCCCCTAGTCATACTGGACTTGGCAGCAGCACAGAGCTGCTAATAATGCCGTAGGCAGTGAAAAAAGAGAATTTGGGTAATTCTTGTTTTGTAAGACTTTGTAGGGATGTGGTAAAACTTCCTAGAGAAGGTTAAATACAATTGACTGTCACCTGATTGTCATGCAGAGAACTGCTGTGACCTCATTCCTCCGCTGTGTGTCTTTCCTGCTGTTCTAGGTAAGCCAAAATGGGATTTAATCTTTACTTGCTATAACCCATGCGATTAGGAACGGGGGAGAGCAGTGGTTTTCCTTCTATCTCCATGAAGATCAAGAACTGTTGAGCATTTCACAAACATAAGCCCAAAGGGCTTGGGAAGGGGGAATTATGAAAACCAAAAGATTCTTCTTGGCTGCTGAGCCAGCTGTTCGCTTAAATGCAGCCCCAGAACCTAGTTACGCTGTTATCTGCTTTCCATGGAAGTTCGGTGCCCAGCAGGCAACTTAATCCATTAAGCCAGTTAATCAAAATACCTTCCACGTTGAGAAAAGCATGTCCATTTTCTTCTCAGTTTTATCCTCATGAAATCATGAAATGTAGTGTCTAGTCTCCTAGCCAATTACCATGTGCCCAGACGGCCAAATTAGAAGGCTGGCTTCCTGCCTTTATCATACAGAAGAAATACTAGGGTGAGCCAATGATCCCTTTGCTTTTAATTGTATAGAAAACGCTGTTGTCCTTTTTGTCATTTCCAGTAACCTGTTTTTCAAGCACCCTTTGCTATGGATTGAGTCTTTTCTAGAGTGGAAACCAAAGGGGTTAGCTGGAGCCCTTACTGAAAATGTTTATTCAGTTCTGTGGTGAGTCTGCAGGTATCACGTTCCCAGTCCACCCTTGGAAGCGGCTTGGGGGGCGGAGAGCTGTGGGCAAGGTCTTGTTTACTTCATAGTACACATGATAAATGGCCTTAAACCGTGATTCTTTGTGGTATGATGAGTTGTAATAAACTGACCCTAAAGAATGCAATGGCTCTAAAACTGCACTCACTGTGTTTTTAATGAAGCTGTACCCAAAGCCCTGTTCTTTTGGAGCAGTTGTGGGGAAGTTGAACGAAAGGTAAAAACAAGAGCAGTGCCTTGATGTCGTGCTGAGTGTCCTGCCTTGTTGCCATCTGCATGGATAAGTGGATCCTTCTGTGTACGAGGAGGCTCGTGCCAACTCAGTCTGCTTTTTTCAACACAATTCCCAGGTTTAGGTTTCTTGTGCAAAGCTTGGTTGCTTGGTCTGAGCTTCCAAGGGAGCGTGGGACATAAACCACTGTTTAGGGTGGAGTGGAAACTTGTCTGCACCCTAAACATTAGGTCTTATTTCTTCCGTGATGTTAAACCAATGGTTGGTATGACAAAAAGCATCCTTGATGGTTCTTCACAGGATACTGGTGAAATCGCTGCGTCAGTTTAGCCAGCATGTCCACACAGCCCTGACGAAGCCTCTCTGTACAAAGGTAGCTAACGTTAAGAGAAAGGGGAAAGTCAAAATAGCTTATGGGGAGCCGAGATCTTATTTTGTTGGCCCATAGTTTTCCATTGACCAGTTTACCTATAACCTGGAATTTACAAGAGGTGCTCTGATAACCCCTCTCCATTGCTGTAATGCCCATATAATCTGAGAAAGTGAGAGAAGGGGAAATGTCAATAAAAATTTAATGTGTTAAAATGTCATTCTTTCTCCCTTACCCCCATCTCCCTTTTTTGCCAGATGATTTTTTATTTCTTTCTTTTTTACTTTATTGGATGGCTGTGAAGCTGTGAATAGTGGGTTGAAGTAGGTGTATGAGTCTTGAGAATGCATGTCAAGAACTGAAGGGGAACTACTCGAGATGACTTAAGAATCATCCCATTCAAATATGTTGGTTTGCCCCAATAAAATATTCAGAAAGCTGCATCTTTCATTCATCAACCAATACATACTGAGTGCTATGTCCGTGCCAGGCACTGCACTGAGGATTACCAATAACAGCTGCAAACAAATAGATATGGTTCCTACTTCTAGTAAACAAATAAGCACATGGACATATATATCATTTTGCAAACTGCTAAGTGCTAGGAAGGAAACGTAAAGAACATGATAAAAGATGATAACCAGTATCTGCTTTAGACAAAGGTGATACGGAAAACTTTTCTAAGGAACGGAGGATATGAAACTGGTTGAAGCTCCCTGAGCAAAGGGGAGAATGGCGAGGTGGGGGCTTGTGAGGAGATGGTAGAGGCCCGCTGCACTGGGCTGTCGTGCTGAGGAGTTTATCTTATGCACTGGGGAGAACTAGTGACAAGTTTAAAGCATTGAAAAAGATAAGCACTTGCTTTTTTGTAGGCATTAATGAGTTGATGAAATTTATATGAAAGTGCAAAGGAACTAGAATAGCCAAAACAGAATTTTGAAAAAGAACACTAGCTGATTTCAAATCTTTCTACCACGCTACAGTAACTAAGACCGTGATTGGCATTAGAATAGTCATGCAGAGCAATACAACAGACTAGGGAATCCAGAAATAGACCCTATTATGGTTATATATGGTTAGTTGGTTTTCAACAAAAGTGCCAAGTTAATTCAGTGGGGAAAGTACAGTTAGTCAACTAATGGTGCTGGAACGACTAAATATCTAGAGGAAATGACCTGTGTTAATGTAAGAAACATCCCAACCTCCAGAGAATTGTCTAGTTGAGCTAAACTGACCACAATTGCCAGGAAGCAAAATCTCAACAAATTGAGAAAATTTTCCAGAGAGTGGCAGTTTTGCAGCTTATTTTGTACATTAAAATCGTAGGAGGATGGGGAGCACAGCAGAGGGAATGCAGTTAGCATTAATATGTTGGCTAGGTGGAGGGCAAGGGGAGGGAGGGAGCAATTGGGGGAATCGTCTTATGAACCATATAGATGTCTAACCAATGTACTGTATACTTGAAACTAATTTAAATAAATTTTTAAAAAATCAAGGAGACACAAGGTATTCAGGGAACAAGATAACAATGAGAGGTTCTGTGGTCTCTGCTCTGGTGAGTGCCCTGAGGGGCCTGGAAAAGAGGATCACGCTGATACTTCAAAGGTACCTTGTCTTAGATGCAGAAAGACCGGCTCACGAAAGGTAAAGATTGACCTTTGCAAAGGAAGCTACAAGGCCTAGGACTATCCTCCATGACTTGCTTTTAGTTCGGAAATTTTATGTTCAGACCATTCGATGTGGTTACCTTCCGTCTCTGAGTTTGTAGGGCCTGCCGTGCTGGCCTCCCCTGAGCTTGTGAGGTTTAGTGTGTGGCCCCACTTTATCCACACCTTCAACCTTTACCACACATATACAATAATGAAAACAAATCAGACCTAAAGAAAAACTAAAATATGAAATTTCTAGGAGAAAATACAAAAAGAAATTGTGACTCTGGGTTAGGCAATGATTTCTTAGGACACAAAAAGAATAACCAAAAAATGGATAAACTGACTTCATCAAAATGAAGCCTTCAAAAGACAAATGAAAAATCCAAATCCCAGACTGGGATAAAATATATATAACAAAGCTTTCTATCCAAAATGTATATTTAAAAAACAAAAACAAAAAACTTTAAGACTCAACAAGACTATTCAACATAAAAGCAAAAGATTTGAACCGACACTACAAAAAGGAGGTTTACTAATGGCCAATAAGCACAGGAAAATGCTCAACATCATTGGTCATTAGCAAAAGGCAAATCGAAACTGAAATAAGGCTTCCAGTTAAGATGGAAGAGTAAGTAAATGCTGTCCTTGCCTCCACCCACTAGAATGGCTCCATTCATTCATTCATTCATTCATTCCTTTGGCGAGGCAACCCTTGGTTAACCTCACAGATTGCAAGGGCCTTGTCAGCTTACGATCTCTTATTTTTTTATTATTATGCCTACAGCACCTGGTCTTCCTAGGTGGTTTCCCATCCAAGTACTAACGAGGCCTGACCCTGCTTAGCTTCCAAGATCAGAAGGGATCGGGCTTGTTCAGAGTAGAATGGCTCAATTTAAAAGGAATCACAATACCAAGTGTTGACGAAGATGTGGGAATGCAAAATGGTACAGCCATTTGAGAAAGCAATTGGGCAGTTTTTCATTCATCCTGGAAAAGTAAAAGCATGTCCACACAAGGACTTGCCCTTGGATATTCATAGCTGCTTTATTCGTAATAGCCTCAAAGTGGCAACAATCCAAACCCCATTGTGATGAATGGAAAAACAAGTTGTAGTAGACTCATATGATGAAATACTACTCAGCAATGAAAGGAACAAATTACTGATACCTATAATTAGATAGATGAATCTCAAAAGCATGCTCAAAGAAAGCCAAACAATACATAAAAATGAATTTATTGATATGAAATTCTAGAGAGACAAAACTAACCTATGATGACAGTGGATCAGTGGCTGCCAGGAGCCAAGGGCGGGGAGGGAGGGATTAACTGACAATGGGACTATTAAAAGATAATTTTCAAAAAAGTAAAATTATGACTCTTACAGATATGAAAATGAACACGAGTTAAAAATTTTGTTTAACTCGAGTAATCTGGTAAGGTTATTACAACCAATTTAAAGGAGATATTGAAAAACAAACGTCTAAAGATCAGGAATATCGAAATGAATGTGCAAATGAAGGCAAAATTGGTTTCCACACAGAGGAGAGAGGTCTGTCTACAGAACAGGACAAAATTTGCATTCCTATACACAAGAGTTATTTTGCTTTGCTGTGGGTACAGAGTTGTAAAATAGCACAAAGACAATGAAAGACTAGAATCAGATAACTCAGAAGGATGTACAGTATATGGCATATAGACAATGCATTGTTTTCCATTATAACATAGTTGTTGTTGTTGTGGTTGTTATTGTTGTTTCCCCTACAGTGCAGAGAAGGAAATCGGAGTGAAGAGCAAGCTTTACATCATGACGGTGGTGGTTACCTGGATATATACATTTGTCAAAACTCACTGAACTGTATAATTAAAATAGGTGTGTTTTTAAAATTGGGTGTGTTTATTGTATGTAAATTATATCTCATGAAGTTGATTTAGAAAAAAGTAACCAACAGCTTTGGGGAGGAAGGAGTGAGAACAAAAATGCATACAGCGGGACCAACCAGAAGGCTATTATAGCTGTCCAGGCAAGGGGGAGAGGGGCTAGGTAGGAACTGACTTGGAGACAGGTAAACACAGATGAATAAACTCATTATTTTCTAACTCCAAGTTTGAGCTGGTGGAAGATGAAAAAAATTGATGGGAAAAAAATATTAGGTGGGATATGAAAAATAGTTTTATCAAAAAAAAAAAATCCTAAAAAACAAAGTGTTCTTCCACTTAGTCTAGTAAAAGCAATATGGTGTAGCAGGTACTCAAACGCTAGACTTCTTTTGATGAATATTAGTGTTTACCATGTCACAGGCATCTTATTAGGTTGAATCATAAAATTGCTAGTGTTTGACCCCTTTGACCAAACTATGGCAAACTTATATAGTTCATCCTAATATAAATCCTTAACATAGATTCTTATTTCTCACACCTGCGAAGAAGGTTCCCCACCACACACGCATGCACACACGCACACTTTTACAGATGACAAAAGCAGAGAGGTCAAAGAACTTCACCAGTAATATCGGCTTCTTAGAAAATGGTAGAAGCAGGATTCTAACCCTGAGGCCGACTCTGGACTCAGGCTGTAACCCCTGTGATGCACTATTCAAAACACTGCAGAGTCCTGGCTGTGCTCTTGGGGAGAGCAGTAGTTTCTCAGAATTGGGCCCAGTTCCCTAAGAGTTTCACTCTGGCTAAACCCGGAGCCCAAGTTTTACCGCCATGGTGGGTTTCCTGGCCATCCTCCCCAACAAACCCAAGGATCCGCTACCCTTGTCCTGAAACTGAAGCAGCCTTTGTGCTCCCTCCTATCTCCCTAATGCCTTCCGATTGCTGGGCACTGACCTGTCCAAACCCCACCTACCCCCGCCTGCCCCATTTCACTGCATGAACATTCCCTAATAGCCCCCTTCTAGGCCACTAAAATTGTCACTGCCTCTCCGAGTTCTTGATCTTTATCATAAACTGAGGTTTTATGTTGGGGACGAAAAGTGGGGCCACATACTAAAACTCACAAGCTCAGGGGAGGCCACTGTTGTCTTGTTCCCCAAATACCACCTCTATGTGCTGTGTTAATTATTAACTATTCTGTACTCACCAATATAAAAGAATTATGTGTCTCTCCGTTTACTCTTTATTCAATCACAGAGATTGCTTTGCTTTGCTTTCTCCCACCCCTTTAAACTCCCGCCAACGAATTTCACATAACTCTCCTTACCTCTCTCCTCTCTTGATTCTAATGTATGAAATAAGCTGCAAAACTTGTATTCTCTGGAGCGTTTTCTCAGTCTGTTGAGATTTTACTTCCTGGCAATTGTCATCAGTTTGGCTCAAGTAAACTCATTAAAATTCTCTACAGGTCTGGACGTTTCTTACCTGAACAATTTCATGCCCTACACAGGAAGATCCCGGCAAGAGTCTCTCGCTGGGGGGGTGGGCGGTCCCACATCTTATCCGCAATAAAGCTAGGTGACACCTAGCGGCAGGGCAGGTTCTTCTGACCACTTCCTCAAACATAGCGGCTGTCTTTCTGGGACTTCATCCTCATCACATCTGAGTATCAACTGCACTCTAGGTTTTTGGCGTTCCGAGAACACCCTCGAGAAACGGTGCAGAGTGGCAGGTGATTCTCTGGCCTCCACCTCCAGCAGGGGAGCTGGAAGAGCCTGGGGGGAGTTACTTTCAGGCCTTCCTCCCCAGGCAAACCTATCTGGAGTCATAAATAAACGTTTGCCTGAGACCTGAAGGCTCCCGAATTGGGCTGCGGCGCATCTCACCCATGACAAGTGAGAGCCCGCAGGA